AAGGAAAGAACTCATTGCATTATCTCACAGTCAAGGCCATTTTGGCTTAGAAAAGATGGTGAGCAGACTGTCTGTGGATTTGGTGGCCCAGTTCAACCAGAGACGTGGAGAAGCACCTGCAGAACTGCCTGAATTGTGCAGAGAATAATCCAGATCATAACATCGATAAGGGTCCAATACTCCATCGAAAAATACTGGGCCCATGGTCCTGACTACAGATTTTATAGGATCGCTGGGAATGGCAATAAACACTGCCTAGTGGTCATGGATTCATTCTCCAAATGGATAGAAGCGTATCCTGCTAAGAATAATACAACCACCACCACTGCAAGAGATTTCTCAAACAAACTTTCTCAAGGTTTGGATTGCCCGACGAGATCGACTCCAATCAAGGCCCCCACTTCATGGGAGAAGTAATGAGGTAACTTTGTCACCGTTTTTGTCAGCTATTACCATATAAGTGCTGTTGGCCTCCGCCAACGCCACCATTGAGACATTTCCTCGTGGGGTACAGCCATGGTTCTCAAACTTTTGTACTGGTGACCACTTTCACACAGCAAACTTATGAGTGCGACCCCCTTTTGTAATAGCTGACAAAAACGCTGACCAGATAAGCTTTGTTCACAAATGGGAAAAGGCTTGCAAGTGGGAGCTTAATGATGACCACTTGGGCAATTGTTCAGAGGCGTTAAGAGTGAGAGGTGAATCTAGATGTGTCAGCATCAATTCAAAGATCCCCTTGTATTAAAGATGGGCGTGTTTAAGGTAAAGGTAACCATGCAAGTGCAATTTGTGGTAAAGGTTTTAAATATAAAGATACATACTTCCTCTAATGTGTGTATAGCAGAAGTCTGCATTGTACAATAACACCAAGGACTTACAATGAATTACTTAATTCATTTAGTAATTTGTTTCTGTAATGTAGTAGATGTAAAATGTGCAACTGTTACGGTACCAGCGATATGAATGTCAACATACACGACACAGGCAGATGGGTTGTAATTGGTATATATGGAGCCAGAGAGGTCAAACAAGTGGCAGTGGTTCCGTAGCCTTATATAAGCAACGTAGGTCCTGTGCTAGTAAAGGAGAATTCCAAAAGGCTATTGCTCATTGAGCCGATCTATTCTCTAAAGAAGATCACTATGCCTTGCAAGTGGAAGTAAGCAGCATTGAACCTAAGTGTGCACCGTAGGTCCAAACACTGATCTCGGGATGGGATGCTTGGGTGAAAAGCATCTTGCCCAAGCTAAATAGGGTCAAAAGGGATGCAGTGGCAAAGGTGTTAGGAGGAGTTGGTACCGGTCTAGGTATTTTAAACTCAATTGATGCCAACATCCTGGCTGGAAAAATCAGTAGTATGGGGCATGATGTGGCCTCACTGAGCCAGCCAGTGACCTCCTCATTAAACCTTTTGAACAGTCTGGAATATGAAGTTGTTAAGACCCTACCAAAATGGTTTGGTTTGCAAGAGGAGGTTCATAAACAAATTATAAATGCCATAGGGGTGTTACAGGGCAACCTCTCATGGGCTTTAACTTGTGCTCAAGCCCAATCCTGGCTGCTCAATACAGCTAGCAGCATTCTCACGGATGGAGTCAATGGAATCCTCCCTTCAGAGCTGAAGCAACTACTGCTAAGAAATGTTAGCTCTTGTGAAGCAGTCCACCAGGCAGGGTGGAAGGCTGTCAATTGCTCATGACCTGGAAACCCACATCACCACCACGTTTGTACTAACTAGACTCAGTGCCAGTGAAAGGTGGGTGTACCCCTTCGGACCAATAGGCTTAAATGTCAACAACTCTGTTCTCATCCCTATGGACATTCCTAAATGGGTGCACAGAGATGATGCAGGATATAATAGTGTCAACTGAAATTCCTGCAACTGGGAATCGGGTATTGGCTGTACATGTACCACAGGTTTTATTGAGGGTCCACGTATCTGTGTAAATATGGACCAAGGAAAATGTCAGTAGTCTCCAGCCAAGTAGTCGTAATAGCTCAGCCATTGTTTATGCATATGTGTTCGAAGCTGGTGTACCCGTTTCTTGGTTAATTCCTTTTATAATGTCAGTTGTCATCCCCAGGTCAATTTGGGGTGTAACATTGACTTTCTGTTTAAAAATATTTCTGTGCAAGCTGTTCATGTTGCCTACATGTTATATAAAGGTGAATCCCATCATTTTGGGGGTAAACACATCTGTGTTAAAACAAAAAGAACAGGAGTACTTGTGGCACCTTAGAGACTAACAAATTTATTTCAAATAAATTTGTTAGTCTCTAAGGTGCCACAAGTACTCCTGTTCTTTTTGCTGATACAGACTAACACGACTGCTACTCTGAAACCTGTGTTAAAACAGTTAATAGCGCACCCGAGTTTAAGACAGCACCTTAAAAGGTAGAGGCACAAGGTAAAAATGTGATGGTCACCATGCACCACTCCACTAATAAGCTAGAAAAGCTTCTTGAAGGGGTGCAAAGGGAGACATCTTTCTCACACTGGTGGGAAGCTTGTTTCTCAGTCCCACCAACTTCAAGGAAGCATAGAGTGTGTTGATTCACCCATTTGTCTTATTTTAATAATACAATTTGGTTTGTTGCGATTGTTGGGACTATCTGTTGGGTAAAGAGAAAGTTAAAAACCCTCTAGAGAAGCCAAAGGTCTGTCATGCCAATGGTCTAACAAAAGGCTCAGTGTCGACTGTCTCAGTTCTTCCTTTGGCAGGAAGGTCTCGGGGTGAGGAAGGGGATTGCTACCTGTGATCAGATACGGACCAAGGGGTACCTGTAATAAGGAGGGAAGGGGAATTATTTCCTGGCTTCTCTTCCAACCAATTGTAGGTTTAGCACTCCTTCCCTCACTTACTGGTACTGCTTGGTCTCCTTCTTGTGCCTCCAATTGATAATCTCCAGGGAGCAGGAATCCAGACCCCAGATGCAGGGGTCCCCCGGCTGCAGGCGCATGCACAGGGGCTGGGGGACAGGTGCAGCGGGCTCAGCCACGCTGGCTTGCTGCTGGGACAGCATGGTGCCCACCACAAGAAGGGGGTGGGCCTGGCAGCCTGGGGAGAAAAGGGGGGCTAGAGGGACAGCGACAGGGGCTTCCCCCCCACTCCACCCCCTCCCACTGGGATCCCCAACCTGGGCTGTGTGGGTGAACCTGCTGCCCCCAGCCATGGAGACCCACCCTCACAAGCTGCTCTCTGCCCCATGGCCCCCCTGCACCTCTCAGCCTCCCAGCCCTCCTTGGGCTCCCTCCCACCCCCCTCCAGGCCTCTGCCTCCCCCCTTCCCTATGCCTTGCGCCTCTCTGTTCACCTCCATGTGAGCAGGGGGTGGGGGCTTGGGGGGAAGTCTGGGTGCAGTGGGTGCCAGGGCCCACAAAAGATGAATCCGGCTCTGCCTGCACTGTATGCGAGGGCCGGGGTGGGGCTGGGCTGGGCTTCCACCTTGGTCCAGCTTATGCCAGTAAGTCTGGCCTTGGAGCTCCTGGCTCAGAGCCAGCATGGGAGGGCTCTGCCCAGACACCGTCCTGTGTATACTCTGCCCACCACCCGCTGAATGTGCTGAATGTGACGCAGCTCATATGGTCCGAGTCGTATGTTATTGCTATGACCCCTGCAAACTGCAGGACAAACCAGCCCCCTGTGTGCCATGGGGGAAAATTACAGTAAGGGGCAGTGTTATGCAGGGGGGTGTTATGTGGGGGGCGCCCCCAGGGCAGAACCGGGGAGTGTTAGGCAGGGGGCACCCCGGGGGCAGGAGCAGGGGGTGTTAGGCAGGGGGCACCCCAGGGGCAGGAGCGGGGGGGGTGTTAGGCAGGGGGGGTTAGGCAGGGGGCACCCCGGGGGCAGGAGCAGGGGGGTGTTAGACAGGGGGCACCCCGGGGGCAGGAGCAGGGGGGGTGTTAGGCGGGGGGCACCCCGGGGGCAGGAGCGGGGGGGTTAGGCGGGGGGGGTATGCAGGGGGCGCCCCTGGGACAGAACCGGGGG